AAGGAGGCAAAGATGAGGCGGTTGAAGGGAATGAGGCGCAGGAGGAGATGAAGGGGGAGATGAAGGAGGAGGATGAGGAGGAGGTTCAGGAGGAGCAGGAGGAGGATGATGATGAGGAGGAGGAAGGGAAGGAAAGTAGCATCAGGAGCAGGCGAGGAAGAGCAGGCATGGGAGGAGGAGGAGGAGGTGGAAGGGGATGAAGAGCAGGAAGAGGAGGACACAGCAGGACAGCGACGTAGATGATGATAATGATGATGATGACGACGATGCTGATGATGATGATGATGATGGTGATGATGGTGATGGTGATGATGGTGATGGTGATGGTGATGATGATGATGATGATGATGATGATGATGATGATGGTGGTGGTGGTGGTGGTGGGGGTGGTGATGAGATGATGATGTTGATGATGTTGCTGTTTGCTGATGCTGATGCTGATGCTGTTGATGATGATGTTGCTGATGATGATGATGATGATGAGGAGGAGGAGGCGGAGGAGGAGAAGGAGGAGGAGGAGGAGGTGGAGGGAGGGAGGGACCAGAGTAGACCGAAGAGGCATAAGTGATGCTGTAGTACACCCTCCCGCCACAAGCCCCCCCTCCGAGGTCCCCGCAAACATTTTATTCACCACAGCCGCCAGCGCCCCCCCTTGGAACGACCGGCACCCTCTGGGCCTGCCGCTTTGACGAGGGCCCCGTTCTGAAAATTGCTGTCTTGCGTCTTTCCGACGCGTGATCTCCTCCCTCCTTCCCTCCGCCTCAGCTCCTCCTCCTCCTCCCGCCCAGCCTCCTCCTCCTCCTCCTCCTCCTCTCCTTCCTCTCCATCCTCCATCCTCCCCTTCCCCTCCTCTCCTCCTCCCTCCGTTCTCCTCCTCCTCCTCTTCCTCTCCTCCTCCTCCCTCCCTCCCTCTCCCTCCCTCCCAATCAGAGCGCAATTCCGTAACTTCCGGCCTTCGTCCTCCTCCTCTCCTCCCTCCTCCTCTCCTCCCTTCTTCCTCCTCCTCCTCCTCCTCCCTCTCCTCGCCTCTCCTCCTCCTCCTCCTCCTCCTCCCCCCCTCCCTCCTCCCTCCTCCCTCCTGAATGCGAGACAGCACGATCATACGGTTCAGCGAGGTGCCAAGCTCCCGTTTGGTGAAAAAGGATGGGCTACAGTCCGTGTAGTGGCTGCGCAAGTTGCCATTTCTCGCCATGAACTTGGAGGAGGTTCAAATAAAAGTCGCAGTCTGGGAAGGTGCGTGCAGTGCTGCACGTGTTGGGTGCGTGGTCTATATGCGTGGAGAGTTTCAAGCGTGAGCCCCATTTTGAAAAGGAACCGCCATCATATGTTTAGCGATTGCACGGGTCAGTAACGAATATGCGAGGCACTGAGGCGATCGCTCCATTTTTGAATACGACTTGTGGTCCATCCTGGGAAACTACCGCAAAAACTGTTACGACGAATGCGCGCGGCGCTAAGGCGATAATCACATTTTGAAAACGACCCCCCGTACCTGAAGCTATCGCAGACTTGTTATACGAATGCGCACGCCGCTCAGGCGAGAACCAAATTCTGAAAACCACTGGTGCTTCATCCTGGAAGCTACAGTGAACCCGCATAGTAAGGATGGCCAACCTTCCCAAGGGTACCCTTGCATCCTTGCATCCTCGGTCCGTCCTTGGCCCCTCTCGCTGGCCGCGCCCCGCTCGAAAAGCTTTGAAAGGGCCCTTCAAGGCCATTGCATCCTTATCGCGCGTCCTTATGACACGGGTTGGCTTTATTGCCACGGCGATGCGTCTGCCTGGCAACTTCGTCGTTTAGACGTTGGCGGGCAATGTCGTGAACGTCGTCCTCCGCGCCCGACCCCGAGGGGGTGCCCTACTTACGGCTTTGCGTGGTCTGGGGCCTCGTGCTGTCGATAATCCCTGTTCGCGGCCGCGGCGGAGCTGGCTGCAGAGCATGGCCAGGCCTCACTGCTTTCGGCAGCTTCCCGCTGGATTCGCGCGGCGATGCGGACTTCAACTCTGCCAGCATTTCGGTAGCAAATCACGGGAGCCTGGTATACCCTCTTATTTCCGTCTTTTAGCGTCGACTCGCGTCGATTAGCGTCTAGTAGTCGATGAGATAGCGCCGATGTAGCGTCGATTAGCGTCGAGTTAGTGTCGATTAGCGTCGACTTAGCGTCGATTAGCATCGATTCGCAAGAGCCGACAACATGGTATGGGAGGCTCCCATGAGTTGCCACCGGGCAGCATGGTGTTCATCCCGAAGATAACGGCACGCGAGATCACTGGTGTACGTTATCACTTTCCTGGCGAAGTGCGCCCTCTACCCGCGGTCAGCACAGATAATCGGCCCATGGCAAATGCGTACCGCTTGCGGGTGGATGCCCTAGTCGACAATATCAAATCGCTGGCCCAGCGGGGTTTCCAGTCAGGGAGG